AGTGTTAGCCCCACTTCCAGCTCAGCCGGAGCCCTGATGTCATGCACAACATCCGACGAAGAGCTGCTAGCTCCGCAGTCTTCGTCTAGTGGATAACGTGCCACTCGACGCACATCTAAAGTACCTTGCCCAACATACCTCGGACCTTGTCAAACCATGCCACTAGTGGCATGCAGCGACTGCTTCGGGATGTGAGCAGTGCTCAGTGGATTGCGTGCCACTCCACGTGTTTCTCTGGGGCTTTGCCCTCGATTCCTCGGCCCTTGGCCGACCATGCTCCGAAACTTGAGCAGCGCTCAGTGGGGTACGTGCCGTTCCACATTCAGCCCGTGGGCCATGCTCGAAACTCCTCTTCGCTACACCTTCGGTGTCTACCAACTCGGATACCTCGATCTCTAGCGCGCTGACTGTCCAAGTCTAGTGCCCGCGCATATAGCGTTTTTGCTTCCTAGCAGAGGTGGGTTTATGACTTACCAAAGCTCCATCATGGACGTGCGCGTAGAGCCCAAGGTCTTCGACCTACAGTGGATCCAATCTCAAGGTGAGCCATACCATATCAAGGATGAGATCTTACCTTAAAATAAAATTTAAGACTGAGCAGCGTTCCACGCTATCAAAGTCATGAAACATGACACCGAGGTCCACAGGGACCTTCGGCACTGTGATAATGTCCCCGTCGCTAAGCAAACAGTGCTGGTGTCAATCAACCGCGCCTTCAGCTCCTCAGCATACAGCTGACTTCCTTCCATTGTGGAGCGTCGCGAAAATTTGCCCGACGAACTCGATCAGGATCTCCCATGGCTTCTTAAAGCCCTTGCACGATCGCTTCCACGACCGGCACGCTCGACTTGCATACATGTTCCGTGTTCAAGAGCATGGAGCGCTTCGGGGATGGGCCCTGCTGCCCTCTACCTCTTTAAGGCTCAACAGAACTCAGTTCTTCCACGGGAGACTGCCCCGAGCCTACTGAATTTGGTCGTTTTCTCGCAAAAATCCAGAAGATGGTAAGCAGTTGGACGTCAGTTTGATGAGCCTTGACGCGCCTAGCGCAGGGGGCAACCAATCCGAAGGTGACGGATGTCTCCACAGACAAAACACCGTCGGGTATCCCAACGCTGCTCAGCAGCTCGGAGCTCTGCCTAGCATAGCTGAGATCTATCGGCTCAGGCCCGCTCGACAATATGCTATAGTGTTCATTTCAACCAAGTTGTGTCGACCTACAGTTGAATTCGGCATTCAATGCCACATCCACTGCTTCGAAAGAAAACGGGTGCACACGGAAGACTTTGAGTCCAGCCACGCCAGTGCGGAGGCCCTCCATAAAAACGGTCACTGTGACCGCCTCGAGAAGAGGATCGGCTGCCATAACGGCAAAGAGAGTACGCAACTCTTGGACAAAGTCCACCAATTTATTCTTGCCCTGTCGGGTGGCAAAGATGTGCGATCGCACGCGATTCGCCAGGTTAGGCGGCGAGAACACTCGCAAAAGCTGACGCTTCTGCTCTTTCCAGGAGGGGAACGCCGCTTCAACCGAAGTACCGCACGTCAGTGCCCATTCCCGCGCTTGATTCCGAGCCTGGAGATAGCTAGCGCCACGCGCTGTCGCTCGGTCTGGAACATGGCGAACGCCATGTACATCTCGACCTCTCTCACTCAGAGCAGGTTTCTCTCTCCACCTTTGCCCTCGAAGGTCTTAACACTCACCACGAGCGGTTTGGGTTGGGAGGGGTCATCCGTCGCCGACGGTGGCGCCAAAAACGCTGTCGACGCCGACATCTTCGGCTGTAGGTGCTCTAGCAGAGAATTTAATGGCTTGAAACCTCTCTACGCTTGCGTTGATCACTTCAGGGCCTTGCGAAGCGAGGTGTTGTACGCCCTCAGGACCAAGCAGAGACACCAGCTTTAAGCCCGTTCTGCATGCCCTGGGGCAAATAGTAGAACTGCTTCATCTTCACAGAAGGTCAGTTGTAAACAACTCAGATGTAGACTGTCTACAATTGCAGCAGGACTGCCGTAGTTTTTTCGCTTAGAGGAAGCTTGGTTAAGGTCGCTGACCTTCGTTCTATACTTTAAAACAGTACGAGTGTAGCGGATCGCAATCCACTTACTTCAATCGTAACTACAACCTTACCCCAAGGCTAATTAACTCTTTTGTTTAAACTATATAGTGTAATTCTTTGTTTTATTTGCGGCAAAGCAACCTATATCTAAATCTATAGGTTTTATTATTTACATAGTATAACCTGTTCGAATGTATAACTACTGGCAGTTCCAACCACGTACTGACTTGTTTTTTAACTGCAGACCATTGCGTAGCCACACTATCTTGTATGATCCAACCTTTTATACCAGGGCACGTGAATCCCGTTACAGAGCCTACATTAGCTTCGGTGCGTGATGTGAGTTTGTCCAAATTGATGAGCGATGCTATTGCTCAGAGCTCAACACAAGCACCTGTAGTGAGCCAATTCTCAGAATGAGCCAGAGAATCGTAATTGTACGATGCGGTACCCATAGCGTATATATGCAGACACTGTACGTGGTGATACCCATAGTACATTTCTCGTGGGACGGTTGATAACTAGTGTTACCCGTATCACGGCCGCCTGTGCCAGGACCGGCAGACACGGGAATAACTAGAAGGCAAATTATTCACAGAGATCATCATTATCACAATGTAACGGTACTGCTGAGTCAGCTCTACCGTGTGTCTCGTCCATCGTGCAGGGCAGCGAAGCTCCGCTTGTTTGTGTAAGAAAAACTACTTATACTTGAAAAGAGCGATCGGACTGAAGTCCTAGGCGTGAGAGTCTCCGTCGATATCAACGGTAGATGCTCTCATTGAGTCTGGAGCACTTTTTTTTGCGATATTTGCAAGATATGCGTCATCAATATGTATGATTGGGACTGGTGAAGGACTTCCTCGTTATATGTGGGTCGATAATTAAAACCACACGCGAAGAACTGAGTACCACAAGTGAGCCGGCTATCCTCAGGGATCCTACGGAATTCTTCTCCTTTTTTAGAAGGAAATTCACCACGTGGTGGCAGGAGATCCATCACACGTGTTGTCCCCGGATCGAGGGAGGGTAGTATAAATTCGACCTGAATTCGAAAACAAAACCCGCGTCACACGATAGTGTCCGAACGGGGATGTCGCAAACACTTTCTTTCGCCTGGAGTACAAAGCGGATTCATTGACAAGACGTAAATCCTTACAGTCGAGGCCAACTTTCTGTGTCAGAACGGTTTACAGAAAGCTGATAATAATTAGTGCATTAAATGAGCTAAATGTAAGTACGCTTTTGTCGCAAACACCGATTTCTATTAAAATGGGCTGCAGAACACCACCGGCGCAAACACCTTTTTTGGAAGGGTGTGCTACGAAATTGCATTGTTGGTAGCAATTTGTTCGGGGCTCTCGACTTTTTGCATACTTCTCATGAAAGACAGTGAACCATTTTTCTTGCATGGTGACTAACGAAATGCTGGTCAAGTCAAGTCTCGGGGACTGGCTAGCATACCGGCGTCATTTGATCGTTAGATGACGCAGCTGCATGCCAAAACACAAACGGCTTATGACGAAAAATTCATCCGCTGTGCTGAGTATAAAACGTCGACTGTGAACATCCCCATCAACCAATTTTGCTCAGTGCTCAAGTGTGTGCGATTTGATAAAATTTTCACAAAAATAATCAATGATGATTTATTGCTATCACATTCGTGTTTCTGGAATGCTTAAACGAAACCATAATCTGCGGGCAGTAAACATGTCTTTTGTCCGAAAGACAGAGTCTAGGCCTGACTAACAACTACTACGAATATGGTGCAAAGTATGCCAACATGGCGTGACCTCAACCATTCCTTTAGAAAATTATGCCAAGTTGAGCTGGGAGCGGCAAAAAAGACAGCATACCAAAGAGCTAGCTCAATATTCCGTTTTGTTCAAGACACTTTGACCTTTGCCACGAGTTCGGCCTTACTCCAAGTGATATCAATATTCATGAAAGCGTGACCGCGCTTGAATCTCGCAAGCATAGAGCGGAAGGAGAATATTACTCATCTCAAGACAAGGAGCTAACGCAAGTAGCTCCATATTGTGTTGCAAGAAGCTTCTTATCGTGGGCTGGGTAGCTCTTTTGTATAGATCATTTGTCGTAACTCACGGTGGCGACATCGCTGCATTTCTCGCAAAAAGGGTAAAAATCACTATCTTTATTTGCCCGTTATACCTCAAAGATTAGGAAAGTCAGGTTGGCTTAATATAGTATCATATGTGCTTTGGCGTCGCCATGACTATGAGTTATCGCATGTCACGATGGTAAAATACACATTGATGATGCAAAAAATACAGCGCATAATAAGACGCAACATGAGCTGCGTTGCTGAGTGCTTAGTAAGCACAATTTGTTTTGCCAAATTTGCGCTTTTTATATCTGTTTTGCGCTTTCTTACTTCGAGGCTTGCTGTGTTACAACATTGACCCACTAGACACATGACGCGTGGTCGCTGGACATATCGTTTCGTCAATGTGTATGTTACCATCGTTGCATGCGATAACTCATAGTCGCGGCGACGCCAAAGCACCTAAGGAACTACATTTAGCTACCTGACTTATATTTGATCTTTATGATAAACAGCGCAAAGAGAGATAGTGACTCTAACGCTTTACTGTGAGAGAAGTGGTGATGTCGTCGCTGTGAGTAACGATGCATGATCTATACAAAGAAGTACACAACGCAGGACAAGAAGCTTCGTGCAACACGATACGGAGCTACCCTTAACGTGGTATGAGTAGAATAAGAAGCTTTCTGTCTGCTTAATGCTGGCGGTATATTAACCCGGTCACGCAATCATGAAAATTGATATCCGCTTGGAGTAAAGCAGATCTCATAGCAAAGGTCAAAGCATCTTTAACAAGATAAAAGTCGATATAGATCTGAAGCGATGCGAAATGAGAGCACATGAGGTATCTATCACGGATTTGACAGCTGTCTCTGCTACCGCGCCCCAGCCCAAATAGGAATAGTGAGAGACCGCGCCATATCGGTATAATTTGCACTAGTAGTATCAGGACTAGACTTTGTTTTTGAGACCAAGGCACTGAGCAACTGCCCATGCAAAATGTTTAAATTGAAGCATCCCAGAAACACGAATTTGAGAGCACCAAATAAACCTTTGATTATTATGGCGAGAAGCTTCTTTGAACGCATACCCTTGAGCACTGATCAGAAGTGCTTGATGGGGATGCTGAAAGCCAAATCCTCATACCCCGCCCTTCAACTCTTCCGGCTTATGGCATAGAAGATTGCGATATCCAGTTGCTTTCACTATACACGACCCTAGCACAGGAGACAACAGCTCACAAATGGACTTTACCGCTCCGCCAGACATACACTTTGAGGGCCGTAACTAACAGTCGACCCTTCCTTTCTCAACAAAGCTGCAAAATCGAGACGAGGATGAGCAAATGACTACCCATCACCACGGAATGAATATTCGTCGCAAGCGGTATGTGTATAGGCACGCAGCTGCGTCATCTGATATTAGATGACGTCGGTACGCAAGACATATTCACCGCAGTGCGATGGACACTATAGTATTTACGAACCAGGTCAGATATACTGAACAAGCTTAAAGTGACGATGCTATTCTTCAACACATCTTATCTCGGTATTTGCGCTGAATCGTGGCTGCGTTTAACTTTAAGAAAGCGTGCATAAACTGTCACTTGCCGGCAGACATTTCGACAAAGAAATTTGGCGCCGCGTGGGGAGATATTTTTCTCTCTTTAAACCGATTTCCTTCTCGCACAGAGAAGCGCCTATAGATCCCTCGATCAGGTCGATTGCTGCGTGACTAATTTTTGCCTTCAGGAACTAAGCCCATTTAATGACGCACCTCCCGATCCGGTGGCTGCTTGCGATATCGACCTTTGGATACAACGTTGTGATCCTTCAACTACGCAAGAATTTCTAAGAATAACTTTTCCACTCTCTTCCCACTCAGTGCTCACTGAATGTTTGCAATGACAAGCTTATTCATGACGGATAATGAGCTCAGCTTCGCCTCCAGTACCAATCGTACAATTTAGTGATGTCACCGTTTTGTAACTATTTACCGGCTCAAATTCAAGCGTCTCCACCTCATAGTGATCACGAACCGTCCTACCAGATATACACACTCGGAATCTAGATATCCCGTGCCTCAGCAGATATATAACCTACAGACCACGACATCCAATCAATTCTCTCTGTCTCATCCTGATATTGCGACCCACTACTCCCGACCTTTGCCCAAGGCACCGGAGATACTTATCAATCTGGGGCAGGCATCATATATCCTACACTAATATATCGCCGCTTCATACCCACAAAAAATATCTGCTTCTAAGCAAAGATAGGTAACTGTTTCGTGTTCCAGTCAATCCTTTGCTCATGGCGTTCAAGCCGCGTCATACCTAGACTGAGTTCAAAGTCTAGCTCTAGATCGACGACAAAAGCGAAACGCTGTCAAAATCCTCACATAATGCAGGTGGGTTACAGAAAAATTTGGCACTTTCGTATCCTTTCAAAACATACGGATATCGCATTTGTGTTCGGTGTCATCAATGGCTCTGTGTATTTCTTACTGAATACAACAGTTGCGCGGCATATAAAACGACGTTGCGATTAAATTGTTCGAGTTCTTATGACCTCAGAAAGCTCGGGACGATGATAGCAACAGTCAGCGATTCTAAATTGTAATCACGACCTTCTTAAAAAATTTCTTTTGGGTTGAGATTCGTTGACCACGTCCTCCACGACGGTATTCAACTCTCAGCTTATAGAAAAGGGAGCTTCCAGTACGCACTACCACAAACGGAACATATGCGATAACCACATCGCTTTAAGGATCTCTCAAATTCTTCCCAGCGCTGCTGGGGCTCTTTGCCTAAGACGCGCTCGTACTGCTTCCACTTCTGATACTCTTACCGACCAATGATTGAGATACATTCGACGCAGCACATATCGCCACCTTGATCGAGGTAGTGTAGTTATAAAAATATCGTGGCGAGCTGCATCGATCTGAGAAAAAAATCATATAGTTGTTAATGGTTATTAGAATGGTCTGACATATCGCGGCGGTAATTGCTCGTAACTTGACAGGAATACAAGAGTTCAAAGTGCACTCGGTTTGTCTAATTAGGGGCGCGTACGCCCGCGACATTTGTTGGTTCATTGTTGGAAACGCCTCTTTCACGAAGGTTAAGCCTATCATCGAACGCGGCCATGATCTATCTTAAGCATGGTCGTAATATTATCATCTCAGCTTTTCTCGCCCAGAGAGAGCGACTTTTTCCCCCTGTTCTCAATGCGCTGAAGATTAGCATCAGTGACCTCGCGGTAAGGGCCGTTTGTGTCCCACCTACGACTGGTGGAAGCTTTTTGTAAGTTTGTTTAGCTAAGTGCATCTTTTGGCTGATGAACACCTTCAGGCGAACGTTTGATCCTGCCGGCCCTTTGGACGCTAATTGTCGTATTACTCGGAACTGGCTTTAGATATAAGCTTACAAAGTTTGTCAAGTTGCCTCATGGACAGGTCATTTTTATCTCGTGATTTTTACAGAGGATACACTATTTTCACGATTTGATCGTCGGATAAACCAACTTATACTACCAAGCGCAACGGGATTGTCGAACAAGTTGCACAGAGATAGTTTTAGCGCCAGAAGTCCGCGTTAGCTGACGCAAAGGGGATAGACTCATACGCATAAATCTTTTAGACCAGCTCTTAATACCTCATAATCCAAGAGATCACTTTGATGAGGTGTGCCACCATCAATTTTGCTGCGGAAACTCATCTTGAGATATGTATCCTGGACGTTCATGAAGCATCTGAAGAATAAACCTCTTCCAGTAATTTAACCGCTACTTGTTTTGCGTCCATCGCCTTGGTGACCCTTTTTCATATACTGAATGTGCCGCGCAATCCCAGCAACCTACAATCTTTCGACCGCCAGTACGAGGTTCATCAGCATCTACATCGCCATCAATAGCTCGGCAACCTGGATTTTTCTCAGAAACGCTTTTATCTATGATTAATTCGTCCAGTCTTTGGGCCCCCGCGTCGTTAAGGCTCGTTCAGTTGTTAAGACTTTCTAGCTTATGCCTAAGAAGCAGGTTGGTTGGCCGTGTCTTCGTCTAACGTTTCCAATAGTGGTGTCAACTTTGAATATGATTTGAAATTTGAAGAATTTGAGATATTGATGAAAAATCCAATTTTACCATGACAAAGCCGAGCGACGCTGGAGGTTTATCCGTCAACCTAGACGACATCGATTTTGACGAGCTCGACGACTATCTCGAGCTATTTCAGCAGGATGAAGTCATCAAGGAGGCATTGTCCCAGGGTGTGGACCTGCGTGGATATGCACAGCAGATCGATCAAGATCTCCGCGCAGCTGAGGCGGCGTCGGTGACACAATACGTCATGAAATCTGCTGATATTGTAGAGCTGCATGACGAGGTGCAGGATTGTGACAATCTATTAGCCAAGATGCAAGAAATGTTACTGGGATTTCAAGCTGATCTCGGCGGAATTAGTGACGAGATACGCCATCTGCAGGATGAGTCCATTGGAATGAATGTGAAGCTTAAGAATCGCCGTGAGACGGAGGAGAAGCTGCAAGCATATCTGGATCAAGTAACAGTAGCTCCATCTTTAATCAAGACAATTGATGAAGGAGAGGTGAACGAGGCTTATCTCCATGCTCTCGTTACACTAAATGGGAAGCTCCGATATGCAGCGTTGAATCATCCAGACCCGTCAGGCTCAAGTTTTAATCTTCTTCCTTCCCAAACGGCAGCCTTCATTGATGTAGAGGCTCACTTGAAAAATTTAAAAGCCAGAGCTATTGCAAGGATTCGAGAGTTCTTGTTGAGTAAGATGAACTTGATCAAGAAGCCGAAAACCAATGTACAGATGATGCAGCAGAATACACTACTGCCCATGAAATACCTAGTGGTCTTTTTGGCCGACAATGCACCAGATATAGAGGAAGAATTTAAAGAGGTGTATGCAGAGGCGATGAGTAAGACGCTGGTGAGTGTATTCAAGTCGTATCATGCAGGTTTAATGAAATTTTATGAGGAGATAGCGACACGTACGGATGTCATTGTGGTGGATGAGCAATCGTTAAAAGGCATGTTTAGCAATCGCGTGAATTTAAGCAAACGGAATGATACATTTTCAGTCACGGAGCGTGAAAAGATATTGAAAATTGCGTCGGCACCGCCACTGATTTTGCATGTTGCTCAACAGGAGGGGCTCAAACTGCCGTACGAGTCAGTTTTTCGCAATATCCAGCAGCATCTGATGGACTCGGTTACTTCTGAGTATCTTTTCTTAATTGAGTTCTTTAAGTTAACCAATCAACAGGAGAATGTGCCGCGCAGTCGTGACTATTTCATGCGTGTATTCGCTAAGACGCTGTCACTGTGCCTGGAAAATTTGGAAAACTATTTATTCACGTGTTACGATGCCATTGGTTTGCTGCTCATGATACGCCTGACGTACGCTCAACGGACAGTGATGGAGAAGCGCCGAATTCCATGCTTAGATGCTTACTTTGATAGAGTGAATTTGTTGTTGTGGCCGCGATTTCAGGCTGTATTTGATCTTAACTTTGTCAGCGTAAAAAGTGCAAAAACGAAGAAGCTGAGCCCGATCGACCTGCACCCTCACTTTGTCATCAGACGCTATGCTGAATTTTCTTCGTCCATCCTCAGCTTGTGTCTACACACACAGCAAAACCAGGATACTAGGGATACCTTTTTGACCTCTAACGCCCAAATGCTCGAAAACGGCACAAGAGATGTGGTTCTTAAAAGCCTGGCTGGATTGCGCAACGAAATTTTGAACCTGCTGAGTCGTTTATCCGAGCAACACGCCTCCGCAAAGGACAAATGCGTATTTCTAATAAATAATTACGATCTTGTTCTCACACGATTCGAGGAGCGGCATGTTGTCTCGGAAGAGACGTCAAAGTTTGAGGAATTACTTGTTGGCCAGCGTGAAAAGTTTGTGGAGGAGGAGCTAATGACATTTTACGCAACGCTGATTCAGTTTGTTCGACAGCACGAACAGCTTATGCTCGGCAAAGGCTCAGCATCAACAACAGGAAATTCTCTCCAAGTCGACACGGCGCAGATCGAAAAAATCGTGCGTACATTTGCAGCGACGTGGAAGACAGGCATCGAAAATATGAACAGCAATGTAATGACATACTTCTCAAACTTTCGCAATGGTATGGAGATACTGAAACAAGTGCTGACACAATTATTGCTGTACTACACGCGTTTTGTGGAAATTATTAAGCGTAACTACCAACGAACTCCATCATTCAACTCAGAAATCGTTACAACACAGGAAATTCTTTACGAAATTAAAAAGTATAGTCGATCGTTTTAGCTTTTACGATGAAGGAGCAGAAGTTTTGTCCATTCTTTCGCACACGTAACAAAGCACAACATAAGCCTAAACGTCGAAGAATTCCTCCTTGATTACTACTTTATTTCTAGGTCTCACTGTCAGAGAATTGAGTAGGATGTTATGTATGCTTATTTCTGCGCTTAAGTTGTTGTTTGGCTTCATACTTCCCACATTGTAGTCGTCAAATCAATCTCGTATCCCAACACAAGAACGATGAGACCGTAACCGAGAGTGACGATTAAAGCCATCGTAACGAGAGAAAAGCTCACTCCTACACGAAGAAAGTCTTTCACCTCCAGGTACGGTTGGCCGTGGTCGTCTAATACCAATAGTGAGTTGATGTTTGGAAAAGACGAGAACGGGAGTGCCATCGCTGCGAGAATAAATTAGCATACATTACCTAAGTTGCGGCTTCAGAAATAATAAACAATCGTGCTTACCAGCGGAAATGGCCAAAGCACAGCAGATTACAGGTATGTGTGGGTGTCCGATCTGAATTGCCATCTGAACTATGATTGGCAAAAGAATGATCGATGCAACTGTATGCGAGACGAAAGTCGTAAGGCAGATCACCATACTGCAGAGTGAAACAGTGACCATCCAGACGTTTCCAGACGGCAACGCATGTATGACCATTTGGCTAAGTGTGTCGAGAAGACCTGATCGCTGCACGGCCTAGACGGGAGAGTAAGAACAGGTGTGAGACTGATAACCCATCATATCAGTAATGCAATCACGTACATCTCCCAAGACGTTGCCACCACCGATCAAAAACAGAATATGCCACGAGAAAGAGTCAAAGTCAAATTGGCTGAGCATGCCCGTGCCAAACATGATAAACTGCAAAGATTCGAATTCATTAGTTTAATCAATACATCAAGCATTGACGATGGTGAATGCTCACCATAAATATCATTGAGATGATACCCAAATCACCAAAGGTGGTAATTGTCACCGAGAATGACGCCCACAAGAAGATAGTTAGAAGCGTCATGGATACAACAACAACATGAAGGCTGCTAATCTTTTGTTTCTGGTCGTAGACAATCTGTGGAATGTACGTCGCATCCCTAGGATCCATAACCCACAGCAAAAAAGCCCAACACTATTGTATAACACGGAAACAAGTATGTAAACAGATTAATGCATACTTTCGAGGAAAGTCTGGTACCAGTTTGCTTACCAATACTGTGCTAACAGTGCAAAATGGAACAGCCATCGCCATCCACTGACCAAAGGTGACAGTATATCCGGCCTTTTCCAAGAACGATACCGCTAATGTGTTTTGCAATGAAGAAATCGGAGTCATCATTCCTCCCAAATTGCAGGCAAAAGCCAAGCCGATTAATAGCGTCTTGACATAGATACTGTTCGTGGGAAAGTCTCGAATGATAGGAAGCAGGACCGACACACATAGTACTGGAGCCGTGTGGTTACTAATCCACATTGACAAAAAGAGTCCCATGAGCATGATTGCCAAAAGAAACAAATTCGGGCTCTTCTTGAAACGACGCTGCAAAAATGCAGCAATGTAGAGCTCAATCTGACACTTTGCGAAAGCCGCCGATATTGAATAGCTATAGCAGATGCATATTTATGATTATAAAGCTTTCGACCCGAATGTTGCTGGACGCACCCGCCCATAATCAAAATTGTCGTGTGGTTGACCAACATGGACATGACTTCCTTGGCAGATTGCTCTGTAGATAGCCCGTGGTCAATGTCAATGCACTCGTATTAGCAACCGTGTATGAATACTTTGAGCGATAAGATAAAAAAGGCACGTACTAGCAGTAAGCAGATTGTCAGGGTGCGCTTTGTCATTTAAAATACGCAGGAATACAACAAGCGGAGGAACGAGTAACGCGGTTGCAAAATAGGGAAGTGCTTCTGTGACCCAGAGTGCTGTTATGAACACGAGCATGGCGAGGCATCGCTGTTGCACGTCTTTTCCTAAATCCATTCAAAACAGATCTTAATCTTGTAGCATACAAAACGTCAAAATTGAATCATCGCTATATCAACCTTCTGGTGTGATTCGAACAAGCATAAGAAGAGCAAATAGTGCCAATGAGATGCAGAACGGGACGACTTTCACCTGACGCGCACCCAAAAGAAGAAATAAGTTTTGAATCTTTCGTTTTGTACAAGCCGACTCACCTTACGAAGCAGCGCATTCTGGTCCCCTTGCATTCGCCGCATGCGACGTTCCATGTTTCCAGCCTCCAATTTGTCCCTGTGACCAGTATATAATCATTAAGAACCATAACACTTTCAAATCAGACGAATAACCTTCACCGTACTTCGAAGTAAGCCGAAATACGCGAGTCAGCAAGTCGTCGATATCCGTAGACTTATAAAAGCGTTGATTACCCAAGCGTTTCATAAAAGCGTCTTGCGTATGAGTCTTCACGGTCTTGTCAAACTGCAGAAAACGTCATAACTCACGACTAGATTATTCTAATCATCCTTATTCTCATTCTTGTTTCACCTTCTTGACAATCTTTCGAAAACCTGAATGATTTATTTGTACAAACGTACGTAAATCCACCAGTGTATCATAGATCTCCTGTAGCGCTGCAAACCCATGCTCTGCTCGATAACAGTAACAACCAACAAGTTTCAAGCTCTGGACCTTTATATGTAATAATTTTGATATGTACCTTGTGAGTAAGTACGAGAGCGCGTGTGCACGTGACCCGTGGGCGTTCTCTCGTCCTCTAACATGACCTCAAACTCGCCCACGGATCGGTAAAGGCGGACGACTTTACTTTTAAAAAAGTCGTTGACGATCATTAGGTTGGCATCAAGTACCTCCCAGAACTGATCCTTGGCATCCTGCACATCATCCACTACGGGTTTAAGCAGTGGGTGGCTCTCGTCCACAACCACGTGAACCTCCTCGTCACCAGCGTCAAGCTCCATCTTGTGCTGGAGCTTCTTCTGCTTGTTCTGTTTTTTCTCTACTTCAAAGGCAACGCGCTTAATAAGCCGCTTTAAACGCTTATACTGCACATAGTTATCACGCCACTCTGGATTAGCCGAGATCTCGAGCTGCTTGCCGAACTTCATGGCCAAAAGCGAGGGCAGAAGCAGCAGGTTCAGTTATTGAGCGTAAATTGAGTGTAACTGCAGTAAAGTTAGCCATCATAGTGATGTTTTACCACAATACTTGGTGCAAAAAGTGATCTGCAAGAAAGATAATTCGCTGCTTTAAAGATACAAATACGATCTCAATTGATCAACACACAAAATTTATCTTTTTTTAAAGATGGGCACACATATTTCGTTTTAAAACAAAATGAGTGCCATATATTCAAATCGTCTAAAATGTCACTTGAAGCTCAGGATACCGATCTTTGACAGCTGCAGCCGCTTCCTTTGTGATACTGAAAAGTATCATATGAGCACACATCACCTAAGTCATCGGCAAAAACTTACCTAGTGTACCGAAAATCAATTTTTTTGAGCCGCTTTCGCTCCGGCTCGAGATTTTGACCAGTACCAGACTGGGGTGCCGAAGAATCAAGCAATTCGTTTCTACCACCCATTTTTGCATGAATTGTTGCCAGAATAGCCTACATCACATCAAACAGTTGGACAAATATCAAATAGATTATTTTCATGGTAACATACGTCGGCCGAGACGCTCTTCACGCCGCATAAATTTAATTCCTGCAAGTTTCGGGCTTCTGACCCAAGAAAACGAAGCAATTGGTTGCTTTTTAAGACGTTGCAAACAGTCAGTACAATATAATATTAAATGATATTTGAAAGGTAGAACATACGTGATCGCGACATTCCAATGTAAGCACAGACGCGATACGGACTCGCGCTTTTTTAATAAAGCAATCAGAGCTTCGTCAGTAATGGCACAGTAGCCAACACTGAGGCTATGCAACTTCCGGCATTTAACCATAATAGCCTTGATAGTTCTTCAGCAACAAAACATACCCATGTCAAGCATCTGAACAATTTTCATCACTCCAACAACACCGTACTGATCTGTCACAGGGTGGCCTGACAGGTGAACTTTCGTAAACTTGGAATGATTTGGATGTCTTTCAATTAGCTTTGTAATGCCTGAAATCGTCATGTTGAAGTTGCCACCAATATCCAGGCCCTGCATTGAATCACCCGCTTGTTCAGAATTAAAGAACGTAGAAAACTAAAGATCTCAACAGTTGCAAACCTGCAGTTTCGGTGCAAGTTTACGTAGATGATCTAATGAGGCGTCCGTCAACTTGCGACAATTTTCAATGTTCAGGTCCTTGATTTCTGCAAATGTTGTTTTGAGCGATAAATACGTCAAAGGTTGTAGTTGTAGACATTCAGCAGATCATCACCTGGACAATTTTTTAAAAGAGTCTCAATTGCATCATCCGTAAGTCGAAAACAGCCCGAAAAATTAACCGAGTGCAATTTGGGGCACGCCTGAGACAGCTAAACGACCAAATAATTTCATCGTCAGCACTCTCTGTTCTCGTATCATGATAAGGAAAAGCCTTACCATCTCCACAAACACGGCTGAAATTTTAGCTCCAATTATCTCAATGCGTGTCATGCTGGAATGAAAGAAACTTTGAGGCAGCGTGTCGTCGCCGACTCTTCCTCCCCGCAGTAGTGCTCGGATAACTTCCTGCTTGACCTTGTGCGTGCGCGACTTGGTCGGCTTTCCAATGCGGTGGGCACGTTCTAACGTTTTTTCATTAATAATCACGTCTAGCTGTCGCGGCGCCTTGGAGATAAATTTAAGCACTAGCTTATCCAGCGGAGACACCTCGCGGCGGAACGCCATCCCACAAATAAATAGTACTCCACACAACACTTTGTTATACCAGAAGTTATACCAGTCTCTCTTAATACTTATTTTTGAGACTTTTATTCTAGTCAATAAGTTGTAATTACAAAAATATATGATTAATAAGTATAACATCTAGCAATTTGATTCTGTGAAGCAGAGCTAAATAATATCGCGTTCTAAAGGCGATGGATAATCGACAGTGTCACAGGTACGCACTGGACCGTTATGTACAGAACTTAGTTCCGTACAATTGATGTACAATTGTACGAAAATCACATTAAACTTCAGTGAAATTTTGAATATTCGAAGGCAACAAAGCGTTGGTACTCAAACCAAAACATGTTTCCTAGCACAGCTACGTGTGATCTTCGTTTGCGGTCTTAATCTGCCTCCGAGAAATCAGCAACCCACCAAATTTTGATCGTTCGATAAGACTTCTGTGGTGTTAGTCTCATATGAAGCGATATTAAGCTGTATAACTCATTATGAATAAACGTTAATATGAATTTAGACGAAAACATATGTCCTTTTGAAGTCAAGTACTTCGTTTCTTCAAAACTCATGGGTGGGGAAAATCAAAACTTACCTCATCCAGCTGAAGCTATTTGATGCGAGAACGATTCTACACAGATTTTTCGCAGGACATGTTGTTGCCCAATTGTGTAGCAATTATATTGCCAAGTACCTGGAAAAGAGTTCAGAAAACGGAAGCAATAGTGTAAGGGGTTACTTGTACCGTGGTACGAAAGGGGTCGCACAAGATGGTGTGACCGTACGGAGGTGTCGATTACACAAGGCGGTGTAATCACACAATGTGGTGGTTACGCCGTAACAAGAAGCCACTACGTGGCGGAAGTGCCTAAGATTTTAAATATAGGCGGCTCTGCCGCAAATAAAAAAACAAAAACAGTTTCAATTTTAAACGAAAGAGTGCATCTGCCTTGGATCAAGGTTTTTGGCACTCTTGGAGGTAACGGATTGCGATCCGCTACACTCGTACTGGTTCTAGTATAGAACGCAAGGTCGGTGACCTTAGTAAGCTTCCTATAAGCAACGAGCTACGGCAGCCCCGCTGCAAAAAGTGAGTCGAGACCCAGCGTGAGACGGAAAGATGCGATGGTATAATGCGGTCTACGGAATGAATATTTGTTGGAACAGGAAAACCGATTACATGTCGTGATTTCAAAGGGTGTCTCTGGCGAGACAGAAAATCTCAGTTGTCTAGTGTATCCTGTTTCAGAACCGATGGACCTGAAGAGCGATTTAGGTCACAAGTAGAAGAGTTGGGTCATGATATTCAAAAAAATGACTTATCCTGGTCGGTGCTGCGGTGCCAGCATTACTTTAAGACGCATTCACCGTGCGAAGCAATAAAGTTTTACATGTTAGCGGCGATAATGATATTAAGTCGCAAACATGGTGATGGGGAAGACTGAGGGCTTTAAGTCTCACCCGACTACCTCAGGCAGAAGCTCGTAGCGAGCTTCACGAGTACTCTTTGGTGGATGTCTGCAAACGGTCGTGGCCGGAGAAGAAGCTGTGCTCTTCATCCGTCATTGATATGTCTAACATACAGGACTCTGAAAGCTGCAGCAATAATACTGCGTAGTTTTTGGATCGAAATTTGTGTCATGAAATAAGCATGGTAATTGGAAACAAATGTCGCGTCGGACCTCAATGACCCTTAGCAAAAACCAATGTGCCGTCGTAGACTCTCTTGTTCGTTCAGAACACGAAGGCAGGTATTGAGAGAGAGATAATTTTTTTAATCGGCGCCGACTTTCTCTGTCAGAAAAGCTAGCAGTAAATACGGATTGTGCAAGCTGTATATTACGGTGGTTGTTGCCCTGATTTGTACTTAGTTTCTTGATTAGACTTGCCACAAAAAGGCACCGTTTGTCGAAAGTTTGCTCGATTTCCCTGAACATGTTTGATGGGCTTCAACAAACTTTCATGAAAGACTGAATCATCCCTTCCAGCGCGGTGAGAGATCTGAGCTGAATGATTTGGAAGTTGCGGGTTATGCTGCTAAAATAACGCAGCTATTCAGGCCACATCAAGTCATGCACAAAACTATTTTTATTTATGGTCATGCAGGGCATTTGAATTTGGATGTGGACATCCATATTTAGCAGCTTTGAGCCATGCTCAAGTGTATGCTCTAAAATACACTGACTGCTTATTCAAAGAATTTCCACTTCTGGGTTACTGTATTGGGGGCCATGGTATGTTTATAGATTCGACGTTGATCATGACCACATGAGATTGATCGGTACCAGTATTTTTGGAGGTTGATCGGCATGAATAACTACTCGTACAAGCGTGGTGTGATCGACACGACCTCTCACCAATCTTTTATACATGAATGTAAAGTTGTGCTGGTTTTGAGGGAAAGGACAGTGTGACAGCTGGCTTTATGATTCCCCCAATTATAATTCTTTGAGCACCGAAAGTGACTTTTTTGGATTCAGAGTGTTGCCATAGTATGTGTTTCTACCAGCAAATGTCAATGGGAATGAACGCGTCAGTCTCGCAAGTTTCAAGAGGAATTATCCAGCTCGTGACAAAGAGTAACATGCTATGAAATACCCCTTTGTCAAGTTCAGGATGCATTTAGACATTTTGTGATCGATACAAATTAGGTTTCGATGCACACGCCGACGACGTTACCACGTCTCTCATAGACGGTTATCCTTCTTTTGAGATAAGGTCACAGCCAGGTGGGCTTTTTGTGGTGGATGTTACGCTGTTTCACCCGAATTATGCGCTGTTTCATATCGCAACGGTGATATACGCTGGTGAGGCAATACATAACGTGTAGGGTCAAATGCAAAATGCGGTGCTAGAGCATTGATATGCAAGGATCTTAGGATCTCAGATGGTCATTTATTAAGTGTGCGCAATTGTACGTTCGCATCACGATTCATTATCGTAAACTTTGAACCCCTTCATCAAAATGTTGGACATTGGGGAGCCGTGAAAATTGCTGATAGATTCAGGAGCGTCGTGTAAGTATATGCGACGCAAGACAGTCAGAAACGGTGGACAGTACGCGGAGGCATTGGACATGCCGCATACAGATTAACTTTCGTGCGTCTTACGACGGAGACTCAAGTGAAAGGTGTCAAACCCTGTGTCAGATCCCGACCCTTCGAACCTTTCACCTTAAAGCGGGCGGGTTAGAGACGGTGCATATGTCAAGTATTGCCGTAAATGGAACATCTGCGTGTATCAAGAAGCTTCTCAACAGCCAGGATATGTATCTTCCCTCCCGCATGGCTCAGGCTTATCACCCTACGGCGCGCTCAGTGATCACTCCCTCCCAATTGGCTTTCGCGGTACGGAAGCAGTACTCCGCATTCGATGCAATAACTTTAGCTCCCTTTAAGCAGTTACAGTGAGTTCTCGGCGCGGGTCGCAACTGTTTAAATTCTTCATGAAGATGGTACTATCACTGCCTTCGAGAGAGGATCTACGGCCAACGCGGCGATACGCGTACTCAACATCTGGCCACTAGCTTCCGCTTTCCATGACGACTTGGTCAAACCTTATATTGTACTCGATATGCCTGTAAGGCGGTGCGATCACCAGCTACATATTTCGCTTCATTTTTTTCCGTGCTGGTTATGACTGTTTTTCGCTGCACAGTAAAGCCCTCAGCCAGCTAGCTCAAAGCAAGCAGGACGCACTTTTGATCCGTATGGAGCATGGCTGAGTTCTTGGCCAAATCGACTCCCTTCAGTCAGAGAAAGATTTTTGTCCCTACCCTCAAAAGGCTGAGCTCAAAGATATAGCGGCCTCATATTGGGTGTTTTCTTGCCTTACCAATACTGGTTCAGCGAGCCCCCGAAGGTGTCTTATCAGCGACATATCAAGAATGATGAGCACCTACAGGCGAGCGATCAACGCTTCTGACTACTTGACCACCTGTTCCACGATACAATTGGGGCAAATTATCGACAAATGCTTTCCAAATATGTTCAGTTGTCACGGAGGCAGGTTAACAAACAGCTCGTGTTCCATTCTCTCAACGGAAGCACTCCTTTACGACTCGATAGTCGGATTGATTACCTGTACTACCATACGCCAAAGATTTGACCCAAAGAGGTTGTGTACACAAAGCACAGAGGTTGAATTCTTCCGCTGCAAACTTGTGAGAGGGTAAAATGTGACAGAATGTTGGCAGCTCATTAATTTGGCTCTCACTCTTGGCCATTCAAAAGACGCGTCGGGTAGCACCAGTATTGTGGTCTTTGTGGACCGTCAGAGAAAATGACTCATTTTGCTGATGTTAGCAAGGGATCGAGATTCGCGTTTTGCAGTGATTTTGCTTGTGACATTTATTAACGGTGTTTCGCACCAGGACAATTCATATTCACCACAAATAGATGGTAAGATAGAGCGCGTTTATCGCGTGGAAAATGATAATTCTCGAAGACCCTTCTGCAAAACAACCACGGTGGAAAAACGAGGTGCTCCCACTCGTTGGGATTGCGTTAAATATTGCTAGACGACGCTTAATTTATTTTTTATCAATAAATTGGTTACCCCCTGCGTTTTTTAGCAGTTATGGTCGAATCTAGGAAAGAAAAGAAATGAGCAAGACGCTTGACATCCCGACATAAATGTCAGCATTTTCCGTTTTCTAGGTGGGCTCGATAAAGAGACGATCAGGTGAGTAGCGCTTTACAGAAGACAGAACAACATCTCAGCCACCCCTCAGCTGATCTACCATCTGCTATAAGACAGACATATGAATTCGAGCCGCTTGGGTGTCTCCATAAAACTAGCCATCGAAGCTATAGCTTTCATTGTAAAAAGTTGAATTTTTTTATTTGCTCGCCGAATTTCAGCTGCAAGATAGGCCTGCCTTGAACAGATTTTGAAAAACTATCACCTTTCTACGTTGACCTTGATGTACGCTTGGCTCGTCTGGTAGTTTTTAGGACCCAAAGGATACTACTATTGGGCAATTGGCTGAAACTAGACACGACACTAGCACAGACGGCTATTTGTGCTAAAAATCTTAGGCCAAATTAAAAAATTGTTAGGTTTCCTCGAACGGCGCCAATACTTCTTTTTACATTCTGTAGACTTTTATGACGGATAAAAGTGAGTCCGCATTGATGGATCCTCCGCCGCCTCCGCCGCCTTCGGCCCACGGGGTTCCGTCTCCTCCTGATGTATCGCCCTTTTCTCCAGCAAGTGCACCACCACCACCTCCTGGCCCTCCACCTTCGTCTAGTTCAAAAGCTGACACGCCGTCTCCGACCTCCGTGCATCCGGTGAGCAAATCTGCAGCAATACCACACTCAAGGCTGCTGAACAGTCTGCCGCTAGATGAACCGGACGAATTGGATCGCAAATGGTACGCTCATTTCTATCATATGCAGAAGACTATTCAGGGCAAGGACGAGGCTGCCGCGCTTGCCATTTTAAAAAAACAATCAGCCGAGGGCGTCACGCCACTTCCCTTTCAGCCGAATATCGCTCTGCTGTATGCAATTGTGACAGAGCCGACACTAGCGAAGCAGCATCTTCGCTACCTTACGGTAGTGGCTGCCATCGACAATTACAAGATTTGTGTGGGTTGGTTACAACAACTTATAGATCTAAAGTTTGTAAAGCTGCTTGTTGCGTGCCGGAGTCAATTATTGTGGCTAGTGAGAGAATTGGTGCATTTGAATGCGCTAGGAGTGGATAAGGTCATTGTTTGCTTGATGAGATACTTGGTTGGCGGCGATCCCAGCCGCACTACAGTATGGCTGGCTTCTTCGATTATCCGGATCCTTATCGAACACGAAGCCTGGCTCCTGTCATGTTCAAGCTTAATCCCATTTGTTTTCCATACGTTTGTGAGAATTTCTCTTGATCACACAGCTTCGCAACACTCGAGCTTGCTCAAGCAAGAGGTGGAGCTGTGCACTACGCTGTGGAACCGTCGACAAGCAGATGTAGCGCAGCTTGGACGCGATATTGTGCGTGTTCTTAGCGACGCCAAAGACGTAGGTGCCATTCCACTCTGCATCACTGTTTCGATAGAGCAAGAATAATCGTAATATTTTATCTTGATGACGAATGCAGATCGCGGGAATGAGCGCTCTGTGGAAACAGTTGCGGAATGTTCGCGACAATTCTGAGCCTGAAAAAGATGTCACTGTCTACTCGGTAGCTCAATTGATGGCAATTCCAACCCCCGCCAAATATCTTGCCGTTCGATTAAACCCCAAAATGGAGGAATACCTGCTATTCATGATGGTGCGTTTGAGACCCAAAAAAATTTCGATGGCGAAGTGGCTAAAGAATCTGTGAACTTTTAGGAGCGCGTTCAGGCTGGATCAGTGACACGCTATCAGAAGTGGTTTTTTTCTCAATTTTTGAGCAGCCCCGGTTCGGAAGCTCTTGTACCTGACCTTGTGCGCTACATTTGTGCTGTTTATCACCCTTCCAACCAAATTCTAAATTCTAAAGTCACCCCGCGTTACCATATTCTAGGGTGGTTATACCTCTTATGGTACGTCTCGTGAAATAATCAATTGTAAGCCAAAAATGTTCTAAAGATTTTCTGTGTCAACCAATTGGACCAGCCATGGAAGCAAAACGCCGAGCTTATTGGCCCGAGTACAGCTTGCTATGTTCTTCGACTATTTGTACTTCAAGTCATCAGACAACATCATGACTGTGGAACCAGCGATGCTGTTAATGGTATGAGCTGGCAAAGTACAATCTGTTTCACAAAACTTTTAAAATACTGACTTTACCTGTATATCGTTGAACGCCAAATTATCAGGTGAAATCTCTCAAAAGTCATCCAGTCGTAACGCTTTCAATGATTCAATTTCTCGTATTCGCGGTGGAAAAATTTGCAGCATCAGCGCTCAACCGAACACTGATGCAAAAAGGTGTGTCGACCGCGTTTGCGATGATATTAAGACTCGGAGTCGTCCCATCCCTTCTTCCATTGCAGTCGTTCCCTTTGCTACTATCGAGTGCTCCAGAGTTGCAATCAGAGTTGCATCGTATATTTCCAGAGCATTTTCCTTCCTCAGAGAATGCTAACAAGGCTCAAGCGCAGCTAAGCTCACTCTCGAGTGCGGCAGGAAGTTCTGCCGGATCCTCTCCTGTCCGGCACTCTCCAGCAAGACAGTCACCAATCCGACAATCGCCCATTCGTCAGTCGCCTCTCCGTGGCAGTCCAGTAGGATCTGGCAGCCCAACTACGTCACCACTGCATTCTCAGAGTCCCACACATTCAGACGCAAGTATGGGCGGTGGGGGTCCAACTTCGGACACAAACTCATTAGGCGCGTTGTCTTTCTTGCCGGACAATCAACAGGCGGTTGATTCCGCGACAGAATTGGCTACTTCAAATGACACAACATCACTTTTGCCTGCTATTTTTTCAAAGCAAGTTGCAGTTGATATTCCTGAAGGCATTTTACCACTTGGCCGTGATGATATTTTACACTTTCAGCAAACGATACCTGATCCATTTACTAGCCCATCCGAAAATTTTATGGAGTATTTAAACGACATTTTGATTTCATGGACTCGTCAAAGCAACGCCGTCATTATTGCTGCTCCACTGGGTATGTTTTTGCATGCTTCACTTGAGCAGTTAATAGTGTCGTCACGAATTGCTTTTAGCAATGCTCCAGATATCCCGTCACTAGGTGTATTTGATTTGATATTGGATCAGGTACTAAGTGAGTCCCCGGAGCTATATGTTCCTTTTCTAAAAGCCATGCATGCGCGGGATGTAACAATTTCCTACCGTTTGCTTGCCTTTTGTTGCTCCCGAGGCAATAGCAAGAGCCTTGATGTTGCTCTGGCTCCTTACGCTGCTTTTTGCGAATCTATTGGCGGTAACATGGCCCAAAACCTTTTGAAAGATTTGAATTTGAGCCAGCAAGTCGATGATGCGCGGTCGCAAGCTTGTGCTCTTCTGAATGATCAATATACCTTGTCGGAGTCGAAAGACGAATTGGATGCTGTAAGCGGTACTGCATTAATATTGTGTCCGTACCTGTTCGCAAATATGGAGCATCCAATTCTATCCAAGCTCATGGCTCGCAGTGAAGGGCTTGTTCGGCTGCTTCTAGGAATAGTCACACCAAGTATGCTGAATGCGCTTTGCACTCGTGTCATTATGCGTGAATTCGCAATATTTAAAAATCGCTTGGCGAATATTGTGCTCTCATCGCTGCAATGGACCTCATGGGAACAGTACGGCATGTGGGATCTCGTGCTTGCAGAGCTCCTGTCGGGACAGTCAGCCGCAGCTGAGCAGACCATGATGGCAGCGACGCGCAAGGTGCTAGCTTGTGTGAATCCGAAGGAGAACGCAGAGACAATGACGGGATTGCTCAAGTGTCTGATTCACTTTTGTCCCGACGTCAGCGTACTTCAGAGCATATTCAAGTTGCCTGACACATACGACGACTTTCCATTCGCGGTGTTAGTGTGCTGGATGGAAAAATTTCCGGAAGTTGTTACAGACTATGTCCGTAGCTCGCTAGAAAATTCTGGCAACATTTTGAATAGCAAGCCGCTCGCAGAACTTGTCCGAAAACTGGACCACCTTCAGAACCTGCGGAATCGTAGTTTCAGCTCCGAACAATCAGGCCGAATTGCTGTGCTGAAGGATGAGACCATCTGTGTTGCATTAAAAAAGCTACTGCACCAATCGGGTGATGCAAGTAGCAGCTTTCGAGCACTGAATGCACTTTTACTCGATAAAGAACCTCCCAACAAAAAAATGCGTCTCAATGACGCCATTTAAAAAAGTGTCGTAATTGAAACAAAAATATACAGTAATTCTTGTATCGCTTCATTCCCTCGATTCACTGCCTTAGAACCTCATTTCACTGCCACCTTATATTATACAACCATGGGAATCGCAATGTCTAAGGTGTTTGCGGCGCTCTTCGGTAGCAAAGAGGTTCGCATTCTTATCCTTGGATTGGACAATGCCGGCAAGACTACCATACTCTGTACGCGTCATACTAATAGATGCAAAGGTTTTTTTATGATTGATCGCATGCTGATTGTTGTGTGAGCTGATAGACCGTTTACAAGCCGATGAAATCGAACAGACAGTACCCACTATTGGCTTTAACATGGAGACGCTGCAGTATAAAAACATCAAATTTCAGGTCTGGGATCTCGGCGGCCAGACGAGCATCAGGCCATATTGGCGATGCTACTACCCTAACACAGATGCCATCATATATGTTGTCGACTCGGCCGACGTTGACCGCCTTAACATTGCAAAGCAGGAGCTACACGCCATGCTTGAGGTAGAATAGCATTTGTTCTGGGCTACAACGAGAGTTTTGGAGTTTTTGTCATAATTCTGTTGCGCTGAACGGATATTTGTGTAGGAAGAAGAGCTGAAGGATTCAATTTTGCTTGTATTTGCCAACAAGCAGGACCAGAAAGGAGCACTGAATGCCGCTCAGGTGTGTTTATATGGATTGATTAGGCTCATTAAAAATGGAGTTGAAAGTACGATGGCACATTTTCACAGATTTCAGAGGCTATGGGACTATCCGATATTCGGAACAGGCAGTGGTCTATAAAAGAGACTACAGCAACACAAGGCTCAGGTCTGTTTGAAGGATTTGACTGGTAAAGTTGGTGTGAATGGAAGTGCGTCAAATCATCTCTAATGTTGCGATGTGAAGGATTGTGACGTGTATTAAGGGCGAGTAGGCGTTCGGTGTCCTCTCGCAAATCAGTGCGTGCCATCAAACTGACCAAGAGCACTTGGTAGAGCTCATCTGAAAACTCTGCACAGGTTTCTGATATACATTCAGGGTATGAACAGGTAGATATATACATCGAGAGGACTAATTAGAGAAGCTGGGAAAGGATGAAAGTGCTTGTTTTAAGGTTGGGCATTGGTTTAATGTAAAATTGTGAATATACTAAATAAGTGTCCTTCAAGCGACTGCTTGAAAAAAATCATAACTGTTCAATTCTACGTGGATTTTCATGGCAAAAAGGCATACCATTTGGCACGGTCCACCTGAATGCTGGCCGACCGAACATTGTCGTGTCTTGTACATTATCAGCAAATACGCACAACAAGCGCGAAACGTTCAATCGAATGAAAGCTGGATTCGCCAAGTGGCTCTGCTTGTGTTGCTCTACGAAGGCATCGATTCCGGTGTTTTACCATTCGACTACTCTCCAAGCCTGATCTGGCTGACATTCGAGCGTCACACAGACCGAAAGTGGCTTCAGATATCGCAGGAAGCAAAGTCCGTTATTGATGACCTGTGGGAAGCCAAGCTTGTGAATGGCATTAAACTTTCGTCTGTGGACTATCAACCAGTCACGGCATACCAAGCTTCCTTTCGTGGATTATCAATCGTGGAGCATATGCCAGATGCTTTAAAAATGGACACTAATACGTTTCTTTACGCCCCAATAAGTTGTTCCCAGTCCAGCGAAGTAGGCGCCGTAATCCCCGCTAACATAAAACCCAGCCAATTGTTGCATGTACGCTATGACGGCTCAGACTTTCATTTAGAAAATAGTGATCGGTCTTACTCGAGAGTTAGCAGAGTTACTGATTGTGAAGATGTGTCATACGTATCGTCACCATATATTCCGTCTGGACTTCGATCTTGTACGAGCTTTCTCGCTGAGCCTACAAGCAACAGACTTCGTGCTCCCGAGTCGGCGCATGGTCACAATATGATGATGAAGAAGGCAAAACCAAGTATCACACTTTCACAAGTACATGCGCTTGTGGGAGAGTGGCTGCCGTTTGGAGCCAACCAGATTTCGGCTCTAACTGAGCGATTGGGGGCAATGGATCGCTGTCAAGGAGGACTTTTTAGCTCCAAACTGGATTTGCAACCTACTGAGACGCACTTCGAAGTGACCCCAGGTCTTACACAGGTTAAAATCTTGGACTTTGACACCATCCGCTTCATCAATTTTGAAGCCGAAATCAACTTCCCGGAAAGCAAGGGTGTTATCCAGATAGAAAACTTTGGCATGCATTTGCACGTTAGTGGTGCTGTCCTTTATGGTGTGAAAATTGACGCTATTATGAATCGCATGGAGCATGCTATCACTTTCGACTTGCTAGCGCGCTTGCTGGTGGATGTGCATCAAGATTCTTCGGGCATTATCCACGATCTACTCTCTCGTTATCAGCTCAGTGTTCTTGATATGCTTTTTATGGGGAAAGCCGACCAACGTAACAAGTACAATCTTATTACGGCTGCATCGATCGAGCCAAAATTATCAGCGTCCAGTTACCTGGACAAAGGTGAGCGTGAGAATGAGCTCAAACAAGTTTTAGGCGAAATTTACGCATGTTACGACATCACAAAAGACGACGTCTTTTTTCTTGGACGGGAGGGATGTTTGTTCAGCGGTCCCGGTGCTGCCCAATACGAGTCTCTTCTCACGATTTTTATGGGTCTTAATAGCCGAGAAATTTTTATTCGAAACTTTTTTGTGCGCACCTTTGTACTGAGCGATATGCTGGAGAATCTAGGCGTATGCATCCGCAATTATCAGAAACATGGAGAGCATTCTCTAAAGTTGGTAAAAAAGTCGTTAAGCGACGCAGCAAGACACATGATTTTGCTCATTGAATGTCTACAGTATCTTCTCGAGTCCGCAGAAGCCCTCGAGTTGCCGCTTGAGCCTCCTGACATCTCTTGTTCCAAGATTCACAAATGTCTGCAGCTATCGGAACGTAAGAATAACGTTATTGTGCGATGCAAGGACTCCATTAAACTCATCGAGCGTCTTCGTACACAGCTTGACACGCTTATCACCAAGTTTGAAGGCATTTCACGGCTTCAATTGACAAATGTATCGCAAAGCTTTGAGATCAACGTTCGGCGGCTTGCTGAGTCCCTGCTCGTTCGTGATGAGCTTGAGCGCAACTTGGACATAATTGGCATGATTTTTGCGGGCAATCTTTCTTTTGATATCATCGATCGACTTAGCGGTGGAACTTTCAATGTGTCTAATCCCACGTGGTTCATTGACTGGATTAAGAAGCCCATCATTGACGCTCCATTTGCATTTTTGATTATTAATTTGCTCTGGTTTGCTATGATTTTGATGACATTGCGAATCTATTTAAAATTCCGAGTGTCCAGGAAAGGCGCAACGCTTGTAATCCGTGCTCACACAGATAAGCGTATCAATCTCACTCAGTTGCGCAGATTGCTTGAGAGGCGGAATGTTCGTCTCGGTGTACTCGAGTACGATTCGGGCAGTCGACCTGAATTACAAAGTTATAAATGGGAGGAAAACGGATTTCCGACCGAGTACTCAACGACCCAAGTACAGATTGTTGTAGATGAGAATCAGAAGCTTTTGCGGTCCATTCGTCTGCAAATCGCGTGTCCGCGTGATAAGTCAGTGTCGATCCACTCCCGTCGCCTTAGTATGCGAAATATACAGACCTCGAATATATCACGACGAGCATCGCGCCGACTGCATCCAGCTCCATCTTCAGTCACAGTTGTGGAAAACAATATTCTTGAGCAGTTTTCCTCAATATTGCGCAAAGAGGGCGTTTACCCAGAGCGCTACGCCCCGCTCGCTCGACTTGGAAGTCAAATCAATTTACTCACACATCCTCAAGACTTTTCCGAGCGTAAACATAACCGAGACATCAACTGGATACGACGCCGTCGCGGCGCTGTGGACACAACTGTCGATTTTCGCGATAAAAAGTATTCTAAATAGATCAGTCATAATTAGAAATGTATAAAACCTGTGAAAAATCAAATGATTGATTTTTGTAGTTTCGGCGAAGCGTCTCCGCACACATCATTCTTTACTAATAATGTGCCCGAGCGACGATCACAAGTCGTCGTCTTTAGATGTAGGCTGGTGTCCAGTATATTACCCCACACACACTGAATTCCAGTCGTTTGCCACCTATATCCGTACCGTGGTCGAACCCCAATGCGCCAATATTGGCATTTGCAAGGTAACTACGAATAATTATCGGCGACTACACGCAGCATTTGAAATTAATATTTTATGTATGGCAGGTCATCCCTCCTAGCGGCTGGTTCAGCCGCTCATACGATATTTCACAATTGAAGTGCCAAGTCAAAGCCCCAGTCTGTCAGCACGTCGCTGGTAAGAAGGGCATCTTTAATGTGGACCTCGTAGAAAGGAAAAGCATGAGCCCTGAAGAGTTTCATGCCGTGGCTAATGTTGCCAACAACCAAGAGCCGAAAGGTACTTTCAGATACAACACGGTCACAAAAGCGGATATTAACGTTTGTATCTGCTACTTATGGTGCAGATAATGATGATCTTTTGGATGTGGAGCGGCGATTTTGGAAAGGATTAAGGGGCACAATGGATCCACCTATATATGGTGCTGACATTGTGGTAATTTTCAAATGCAAAATAGCTTTAATTTGTATGAGAAGCTTGAAGTTTTTCGTTGTGCTGCTTGCAAATAGGCGTCGTTGTTTGGAGACGCAGATGCCCTATCGTGGAATCTTAACGACCTGAACACAATTCTTCGCACGATTGACTTACCTGGAGTCACACAGTCTATGTTGTATTTTGGCATGTGGAGAGCCATGTTCGCGTTCCACACGGTAGGTAACTCTTGGCCTCACTGTAATTTTAATGACTTACAACTATCTCGTTTTGCTAATGAAGGAAGACATGGATCTCTACAGCATAAATTATTTGCACACAGGAAAACCTAAATTTTGGTACGGTGTGCCTCCACATGCTGGTAAGAAGAAAAGATGCTGTGCCTGGTTTTCTTTCACTTAGATTTTGATCTCTTGCGGATATTTACACTACAGCGACTCAGCTGGAACGTGCTGCGCAGTCGATGTTTCCTGAAAAGTATCACGAATGCACACAGGTACAGAGTACCTACTTCTTCGTGTTGGACTGGGCAATGCTAACATGATTTGTCATCTCATTGTTACAGTTTCTTCGGCACAAAACATCTCTGATCTCACCTGCACGTCTAAAAGAATTTGGAGTTCCATTTTTTCGAGCATGTCAAAAGCCGGGAGAGTTTGTGATCACATTTCCGGCAACTTACCATCAGGGATTTAATTTTGGTACTGCTGTTCCGTTATTGTCTAGAATGTAAAATTTGACGTAGCTTTGGTTAAAAGGTTTTAACATCGCCGAAGCTGTTAACTTTGCAACGCTTCATTGGATTCCATATGGGCTAAAAGCCAAGGTAAAGATTGAGTACAACGCACCAAAAGGTGCTGATGGTGTTCGTATTTATTCACTTGATTGTCTCGATTGCTTCTAGATCTGTAAATGTCATCCTGATAGCGTGCGAATTGATATGGATTCTTTTTTAATGAGGTTATTCGAAGAGCCCCGGTGCGATTCTGAGGCAATTGGTGAGGATCCTTGGATATTTAGCTGCAAGTGTAACAAATACTGCAGCAGCAACAGTCCACATGTGGAAGTGGAGGTAAATGTGTTTCCTTCGTGGATGAGTTTGGTAAATAGTAACTTCCGTATGCTGCAAGGAACAATGGTTTGAATGTTCAAAGTGTAAAATTTGGGCTCATGTTCGCTGCATTCACTCTGGTCTGGCTGATTTGGCTGCTGAAGACTTACCTCAGTCATTGCTGTGCCACCGCTGTCTCGCTGAAGTTTCCTGTGGCAAGCCTTATGAATTGTCCAGTGTTGGTGTGGGACGACGAGGTGGCTCCGCAGTAAAGGTTATACGCCGTAAACTGGGCAAGCGGAGGAAGGAAGCTCTGATTTGCCCAAGGTCGGAAGCAGCGAGGGTGTCGGCTATAACACTCTCGCCACAAAATAAAGCCGCTTTAAGGTCAAATGATGGAGGATCATATACGTTGAAGAGCACGGCAAAGAATCGAGCAGCAAATCGCAAGCATCGTTTGATCAAAGGCTCGATCATTCGATTTGAAAGTACTGAGGTTCGTCTTTCGGGTGAATTGAAGATGGAAACTTCCTAATCGTGTTTTGCACGTTACAGGCTAAGATTTCAGCTGTCCAGGGCAAATTTGTTCGCGTTCACTATAAGGTACTATAGAAATCGTCCAACATTGTAGTACTCATGCTCTTTACAATGCATCTGGCTAACTTTATATCTATATAATTATCTATTTCTACTTATCAGGGCGAATCTTTGGACAAAGACGAGTGGCTGCCAATGAACTCCAAAAAGTTATCCCAGGGAATTGTATCAGTGGTGCCACCTGTACCAAAGAGAAAAGAATAATTTTGTGCAACAGTGCACTTTATATATAATATTGTATGAGTACAATATATTTGAAACTATCTAGGCTTATTACAAAAATTTGAAATCCAGTTGCGATGAAACGTTCTGACAAGGATGTCTCTGTTGGCGAGTACGACCCGGTGACAGGGCTGACGCACATCACACACCATCGCGGCCGTCTATTGTTTAACATGGGTGCTAGCTTTAAGAAGCGACAGCGTCGAGGGCTTTCAGTTGATAATATTCCCAAGGCATTGCCCCCCTCGACCTCAATTGGAACCTTCACGGGACTCTCACTGTACCCAGAGGAGGCCTACTATTTGTTACAACAAGGAGCAATAATAATCTACATTATGCCTCACGATGGCAATGATGCCCATGAGATAAACCTTGCTGCCTTTACCGACATGTTATCTAATAATGCACACGTGTCCCTTTCCTGTGTAGAGGTGTACTCTTATCTTAAGGAACAAAAGCTGCATCCTCGTCGCTGCCTCGAGCCATTACCGCAAACTTTCTCAGGAGGAAACGATCCTAGCATACCTCGACATTGGGTGAGTGGTGAGCGTTTCAACGTCGCTTTCGAAGTCTGGAAGACGGTGTCAGTAAATGCTAAACCGAGCAACGTCAAGCCAAAAAGAAAACAGAAGACGCTAGTGCTTGTATTTCGGGTTGTCGTGTGTCGCTTTGGAGACGCAGCACCGACCCCCCGAATAATACGTGCTGCTACGCGATGCAACGAAGCACTTGACGGCATAAGTATGAGTAGTCAAGTTCCGTTAAAATTAGCAGTTGTACATCATGATGGTAGCGTCGTGCTCTTCTCGATAAGTGTACCTGCTACAAGTGCATCTGAATTAGCAATAAAATACCATCAGACCATAGCAACACAGAAAGTTATCGTCAACGCTGAATAATAATAATATTAAGACACTTCTCATGAAGGTCGTTGGCTTCAACCTAGGACTAGCCACAGGAAACACGTTGAAGGAGTCTAAGAGGACTGAACTTTGAATAGGCAGACAAACGGAACGGCGCTTTACGAGGAAGCTACAGCACTAGTGACCACCACGACGTTGCTCTTTCAATTATAACTTCTCATTCGGAGCAAAGTAACTTGTCAAGAATTTTTCCGGGTCCAACACAAAATCGTCATCTGCATCCTCAAGACACAAGTCCGCTGCAAAATTCTCGCTATCAATAGTGTTGTCCAGCTCCAAAAAAGGTTCGACGTCTATCGTTTCGGAGGCACCAGATTGTATCGAATTTTCGGTGGCTTCTTGCGCTGTATCAGATGTGGAAAACCACTCCAACTCTTCTTCTGTAAGCTGCAACAAGTCGTCATTGTCAATAGACGCGAGGGTCTGGTCCACACAGTCGACCGAATAGTCGGCTAGGGACTTATCCTCCGCAAAATCAAGAATCATCACTTCTGCTGCGGCATCGGCAAAGTCCATCGGCAGGTGAGGAGGCTGCGTAGCATTTTGGTTTTTTATGCTGCGTGCAAACATGAATCGACTGTCCGTGGGATTACCGAAAGACAACTTGTTACCTAAAAGCGAAGATGTTTTCTGCTTAGGGGACATATGAGTAGCAAGCTGTTTCTCGCGGGCGAGACGCTTAGGTACACTGGGGAGCACAGTCGAGTCATCCATGTCCATATTCATCTCAAGTAAAGAGTATTTGCGCTTTCGCATATAATGCAACTTTTTCTGCGAGGCGGGGCTCGAAGGAATAATTGAAGGTGCTACGCCTGCAGCGACTGCTGCGCGATCCTGTGCTTCGCGTTCCTTTAAACGGGCCTCCTCCTTTTCCAATTTTTGATAATACTTCTGAGCATGGGTCCGAATCTGCACGACGGTGCGCGTCTTGATAAGTGTAGCAATCTTCTTCCAAGCACGATAGGGGAAAGTTTCTAGACCTTGTAGAAAAAGCTTGTGTTCAGATTCGGTCCAGCGACCAGTGTTGCCCTTGTGAGACTTGCCTGAACCTCCATGCGAATTGTCTTCAGCATCGTCTTCGTCATCGTCCGATACGTCATCGCTCGGGATGCACAGGCGATGACTTGCAAAGGAGTTGGATAAAGTGCTGGACTGGGATTTGGACGTTGCGGTTGTGGCCACAGCAGCTAGCTTGGCCCCAGGGTCGCGCGGGGACACGGTAGCAGCAAAAAGCGGAGCATCAGTACCCAGGGGGGTCATGGGTGCGTCCCCTCTGCACGATAAGAAAGCGTCGTTCATGTGCTGCAGCGATAAAAGCTTTGGGTGCGATCGGACACTTTTAAGCACTTCTGTGGAAGCCATAATAAATGTTGAGATAGGAGAGTGATTGTCGGTAGAAGCAAAGGATTGACGATGCACGATGCACGCTCACGAGAGTGATGGTATAACGCACACACAAAGACACGGGACGAAACAACGGTAACGCAGTCCAAAATTGATGCAGGCGGATGAGATGAGAGGCTCACCCGGACAAACGAGGGAAGTTTGTGGAGATAGAGAACTTGCACTGCTCCAGGTGAAAATTCAAATGAGTAGATAACTTAATCTTTCCTTTATATATGCCGCCTCCTTGAGTCGAGCTTCGGTCTTGAGAGGTACGCCAGGGGACCAATGGCAACACTGGTTGAAGCTTTTAGCCAATCGCGGCCCCTCATGCGATGAAGAGTGTTCTTCCACGGTTCGCGCTCGGGCTGACCCGTCGTCGTTGAAGTTATTACAAAGTCCTAATAATTTATTGGAAGCCAGAAAGAGGGCCCAACCCGCGGATAATAATAGTACTATGTGTTGTACAGAAAAGCATACCTTCCCGCATACGCCTGACGTTGCTACAACTCTGCAGTTACTTAGCGGAACTAAGCTAATCGTTGTACGCTGTAGGGGTATTACATTTTACATGCAATACTCGACGGACTTGTGTTCGTAGTCGCAGCAGGCAGCGGCCGTTGGCTTGAACTAAATAAAAGTCTTTATTTGCCTGACCATGCAGCCATGCATATGGATAGCCGAGCGGTGCCATCTGCTGGAGGCCATATTATTTACGATGGCGTGTGGGTGTGGTGGGCTTGATGCTTGTACTGTAAGCATCACAATATACAGTACTACGGCCCCACTGATTCGCGGAAAGTTCTGCTGTAGCCTATAAGGGAATAAATCATCGATTGTGTTTAATGATTGGTTAAAACAAAATCTTGAAAAGCTTTGCTTTAAACTGCAAACTCAGCGTGACACACATCTCTGAGCAGCCGGTGTTGTTCTTATAGCAAAGCTCTTTGAAGGGGCACAAGAAGAGATGAGTGGACAGCACACGACTCGCAGAGGGGCGCTCATTCTGAGTTCGAGACAGTTGCGTCCCGCAACTTGCGACTGATAAGGCTCCAAAAACAGAATTTACTGCACTGTCCGACAGGCTGACAGTGTAGCCTTGCATGTGCACCTTCACTATCAGTGTTCGAGCAGTATGCACGACTAGTGGGTACGCATTGTGGTACAGCTGCCCAAGACTGATTTGATTTAAAGAGGCCCACTTGGATGAGTTTCGGCACCAACTATATTGGCACTGCCAACAGCCACGGGTGGGGGATCCCATACCGAGCTGAGGGGCCTTACTGGTACATGTACAGCATTGCGCGCGAAGAGGCACGTTGCATACTTTTTAGTAACGGCTGGGTAGTTCGAAAGAAAATGCGGCGAACGTAACGGCACACCACGATGCGCTTGAAGTTGCGACGCATGTGCGTTGGAGAATTTAAACGAGCGGAACGAAGCGTTAGACGAATGCAAAGGTGTCAGCACTTTAGAACTTGACAATCCGTGATTCCTGTGTTGGCCGAAAGCCTGTCGCTTCTTGTCAGACCGGCGGTACTACTGCTCGGGTTGGATGTGAGCGATGTCCCAAGGTCCAAGAATCTCACTGCAAATGGAACACAAAACGTCCATATGATTTCGTGCGTCAGTCGGAGAATGCGCATCATCGCGGAAATTTTTTGATTTAAATACAGACTGAATGACATCAGGTACCTTTTAGATTCTTGCACATGCATGAACCAGAGTGGGCACACGAAAGCCAAGAATATGACAAAGGCACCCGTGAGTACGCTTAGCAAGCCTGAAATCTGCCACGTCAGCGTCAGCGCGAGGAAAAGTATCATGGCTGTCGTTATCAAGTGCAGCCGCTCTGAGTACCGCTACAGCAAACAAAACGGAGGGTCATAAAATTGCATCCAAAAGCATCAGAAGCGAAGGCAGAATGCTATAACCCACTTTGACTTCGCGTTGGAAGATGGGGAAAATGGCGAAGACTTCAATGGCAAGGAGCACGAAAGCGAAAACATGCTCATTTGACTGCAGTCTTGAGCCTAGTAGCACCGCCGTGAATATGGCGGCATTTAGTGAGATGGTGCCACTAAAGCTGTCCCACAGCATAATCTATCACTAATGGATGATCCGTATTTTAGAAATATTCCAGGTACCGCTTACCGGCCGATACCTGAGTTGACATAGTTGTAATCGTGGGTGAGAAGGTGCAGCATACCCAGAAATGTTGCCAGCACCCATATCGTGTCGTCCGCGTACGATTTCGTGAGCGTCCGTAGCACAGGTGACAGCAGTGATAGCGTAGCGCAGAACAGTAGGCACGCGTTTATGGTGTCCCATGTGCCTGTTCATGTATATATGATGGTCAACATCACCACAGTGCTTTTCGCGCAAGATAAACTCACACAATGGTACTTCGAGGTGAGTACGAAGCACTGCAAAGCCTGTCACTGCTAGTGTCACATCAATTACGCCCAGAAACACGGTTGATACAAAATCTTGCCGGACAAATTCAAACATCGACTAAAGCACGCATTAAACGCAGCTTTAAGTGAGATATTATGTCATCATGTTCCATTTAATACGCACGTAAAAAATCAAAATAGCGCTTATCTGCTGTATGATAGCCGCAGCCGAGCGGACCATGCCACCGTAGTCGTGCTCTTGGACATGAGCTGGACATGATAACGGCAAGAAGGTTGCTATCAGCATCGCAAAACGGTACAGCAGCAATAAGAGGCACCGTTAGTCCGCAATTGCTCTAAGAAAGTCTTGTCGACATAATTGTCCTCATGGGGCTGCGGAGCATAAAGAATTTTTTTCCATTGATGCTGGAACCAAAACTCGTGTTACATGTGAGATCTTATAAGCATGTTTTGGCCTCACCGTCATTGGTGCCATTTCGCGGTTATTAAATCAAAATTGTTTACGGGCTCGTCTAGAGCATTAGAAACTTAAACATAGAAAGTTTATATTAAAAATTGAAAAATTAGGACAGTACTAGATGGGCGGGGACCGACCCCCTAATAGTCACCCTAATGTAGCAGGTTTCTAAGAAGAAGGCCATTCCACCTCCGTTAAAAATATAAAACCCACAGGTCACTAGACCCAGTGAGCAACCCTACTTGTCAGGTAGAGCATTAGTTTCCTTACTCATTGAGTTTAAGCCATCACAACATAATGAAGGGAAAATTATTTATATGCTAAAACTTACCTCACGTGCATCAAAAAGTATATATGTGAAATGTAATAATTGTTGTTTATTTGCCATTGACCTGATATTTTGTTAAAAAAGTAAGTGTTGTAAATCTATATAGTAGCATACGGCGACGCTCATATTAACAATTAAGCAAAAGCCTACTTTTCATTGATGGATAAGCTTCTGGGCACTCGATGCGGCAAAGCATGCAAAGAGAAGGCTATGACTTTATGAGCCCGCTTTAATTACCGCACAAAAATGGGTTCGTACGTTTGCTTCAAAATTTAAAAATAAGTACTTCTTCGCATGATTTAGATAATAAGATCAAGTCTGACTTTGATAGATGC